TGAAATAGTACATCTCTAATAGTAAAGGCAGGAATGCAAAGAAGCGAAAATGTGAAATTCACTAGTATTATTCCTCCGTTACTTAAAGATAAATGCTACTTTTCTGCAGATTAAAATGGATCTACAATGTCCAATATTGTGTAGATTTTACTGCAGTCATATCTGAACACATATCCATTAAGCAGAAAGATTACTCTATTTTACCTTTTTAGTCTAGAAAAAGCTATATGTTTTTCTTTAAGGCCATTGTTTTCTTCAAAAATCTTCCTGGTAACTTTGAACATTCAAACGTGGCAGAACATCAACCTTGCAAATAAGTGTCATAGTTACCTTTTTAATCACAAAGAAAGCATTTAGCAAGTTTCTCACGATCAGTTTGTGCAACAACAAAAATAGTAGTGATTAAAATATCCCCAACCCAGGAGCATAGGGATTATTTATGGCACTCTTGATGAAACAATAAGGCCCAACCCGTCTAGTGGAAGTGTCTGTTGCAGCCCAGATTTTTGATGTACCATGTGGAGAGCGAGTGTCTTTTAATATCAAGACACAGGCGCATGATGATACGTTAAATAAGGTCAGCTATATTCAAGTCATTTTTGCTTTTCTAAGTGACGCTGTGTTAGCCAAAGAGGACAGTCTCTTTGAAAAGGATTACATTAGAGATAATCTATTTTTATACATACAAAGGAACAAGACCTTGTGCTGAATTTTTACAGATTCTTAAGCTTGGAAAAAATTGGGACATTGCGTGGCTTCGTTTGAAACCCTCTGATCTTCACAGAGAAAGAGGGAAGAAGCAGCGTGGTGTACGGGTGGGGATTTGGGGAGGGGCGAAGGAACCGCGTATCTCACACAAACTTAACCGCATCTGGAGAAAAACAAACCCGGCAAATGCGAATCCAACCCAAACAAAGACACATTTCAACAGCAAGGGCATAACCTGACAGACACATCTGTATTTTAGTGTTCAGACGCACTCAGCATCTCTTGTCTTGAAATTTTGTACAGTGTTGCTTCAACAATGGAAGTTCTTTGACCTGAAAATCCCAGACAGAGCTGCAGTGAGACTGGCTCTCTGCCCAGCTGTAAAACCGAAGAAGCTGCTTGCAGATTGATAATAAAAAAAGATTCAAAAAGTGCTGGTGATTCACACTGAAAATCCTTACGATGAGATAGATTTGAGTTTTGCCAAAGAATTGCTTTGCAAGTCAGAACTAAGAAGGACAAACTAACTATAATACCCCCTACATAATTGCTGTAAAAATCTATGTTATTTGTTGAGCAAGGACCCTCGACAATTTGAGTTAGAATTACTTTTGAGCATATATTGTGTTACGCATATCGATTTCCATTTCTCAGTAAACAAAAGAAAAACACCATACCAAATGCAAAAATCAACTACATTTGCACACATATCATGCAGTATAAAAAAGGCATATATAGGCTATATAAAAAAGGGATGACTCAACTCACCTTGTGAACAAGGCAAAAAAACAAAATGCATCCACATATTTCCCCTGACATTCAAATCACCCGTTTTTATCTTTATCTTTTAATACATTGCCAATACTTTTTGCTGACATTTTTTTGATCTGACTCATACCGTTTCTCCCCCGCAAATGCTGATTGCTGTCGTCCACAGCTAATCACAGAAAGGTCTAATCTAGCTCATTTGGTTCTTGCAAGTGATAGCACAGCCAGTTCGAGCATGTGGTGAGCCAAGCGACAGACATTATAGCAAGAAAACAGGCCACATTGAACTGCAGCCATGAAAAAGTCCAAATATGACCTCCCACACCCGGTCCACATGGAGACCTACACCTGAGTACGGCAGAGAGCCGAGGACCATGGCAGGAAACAGTACTACACTGCTTGAGCAACAACAATAATCATTTTAAAAAGACAAAAAAACTTTCCTATGGAACAGTAAGTGCAATGTGCTTTGTTTTTATATTGACTGAGAACAAATGATATATATTTTTTAAAAAAGAAAAAGAAATGTCACACTGAAAAGGTTTGAGGAATAGCAAGAGGAGCGACTGTTCAGGCGAAAGCGATTAAATCGAACAGACTCGTTACCAAATCAGAAAAAGAATGAGAGCTCTGATCTCCAAATTGTTCCACGATCACTTCCTCAGTCCCTAATTTGTGCTCTGTCCTCGCAAGCTCAAACGGCATATTTGGCTGACTTTAGCAGAGCTTTTCTCACTGACTTGGAAAGGAATATTGTCTAACAGAACATCAGTTTTAGCCCACGTCAATTTCAAATATCATTTTCCTGTGATTTCTTGATTTCATTTACATATCAGGACTCACTTGTTAACTTAGTGTATTTGTGTTGTTGATGTTGCCATAGAGAACACACATGGGTCGAAGATTACGTTTTGGTTGCATCGATTGGGTACAGTTTGTTATTTTTTTTCCATTTTATTAGTTGCAGTTTTTACAGTGTATGCAGATTTTAGACTTAGTTAGATTTCTTTTATTTCAATCAAACTGTGTTCAATTGTGTTTGTAAAGTCTGTGGTAGCTTTTGTTGCAACATAAAAATAATTTAAACTGAAAAAATTCAAAATAGCGCCAACAAACTTGTATTATTTGGGCGACTTTAAGCTTGTAGTTTTAACTTATTGTTAACTTAAAAACTATTTATTATGATTATTATTATTGCCTCGTATAAAGTATGTTTTGTGTATATTTATGGTTTATTTCATTATATTTGCAAGTTTAAAAGATTTTAAGTTTGCCAAAATTGTGGTTACACCATCTTGTTTCTTAAAAAGGGGACAAATAGAAAAAACAGCTTTAGAAGTACGATTTGGAAACGTTCTCCATAGTCAAAGAATGCACTGCTATATTTAACTAATTGAAGTGTATAAACATACATGCTGTGTGCTAGATGTTATGCCTTTACTGCCTGTGTTCTGTTTGTCTTGTTAAATGAAAATCTTTTAATTATTTAACCTAATCACAGTCTTGTTTTTTCCAACCACTCTGAGCCCCTGAGAGATGAAGGCGCCCCTCTTTTGTGAGGCTTCGGCTCTCTTCAGGGGGAGAGATTTGTTTGATTTGCTCAAAAGATGCTTTCCTGTTTCGCTGATGGGCTGAATTTATCAAAATCTATTAAAGCCTCTGAATCTGTCAAATAAACGTATCACTGAGGCCATTTTTATCAATTTGTGCTATTCAATATATCACAGAGCTCCAACAAGCTACAGGAAGGTTTTCTTTGGAGGGTCTAGAGTTGCAAATGGATGAGTGGTCCTTCTGTTTCTCAACTGTATTTTGTGTCTATTTATTTAGAAGAGGGGACGCAGTAACTTAGTGATGTTTTTCTTACCTTTTCCTGGAATGGTAGAACAAATCAAAAGGTAAAAACGATCAAATAGTTCTGTCGACAGCAAGGTCAGCAGAAACAAAAAAAGAAAAACCTACAAAAAAAAAAATCTACTAAATCTCATACTTCCAAACATGACCAAATGAACAATGTCAAATTTAAACAAAGATAAAAAAATAAACCTTTCAGTTTAGACTAGGATATTTATTACTGGGATTTCAGCTGAAGACGCTTGAAGACTTTTTCATGGAATTGTTTAATTATTTGTACTTTACATGCCAGAAAAAAAATAAAATGAAAGTTACAAATAAAAGTGTTGCAGGGGTTTTTCTTTTCCATTGTCAGAATAAAAGCAAGAATTTCATTACACCAGCCTGTACTAAGAACACCAAGAGGAAGATTATTATTTTTATATGCTTAAAGAACTGAATGAACAAACTATTGATAAATTATGTGGATTTGAATCAGTGTTTTTCAGCACACCTCACTCCTACCTTGTAAAGAGGTTAAAAGAAACATGTTTCATTGCAAATGTTCTTTCAGTGACGTTCTTAATTGTATGCTTAGAGACTCCAGATTTGTTTTTCAGACAAACACATATTAATGTCAAACACAGATGACTTGAGTGAAGGCAGAATGCAGCTTTCCATTTATTTTATTCATCAAAAGGGGAAAAAACTGTCCAAACCAACCTAGCTCCAGGTAAAGACAAAATTCTTCACCTGCTTAATAAGCAGGTGTTGAGCCGTTTCAACATAATGAAAGTTTTCAAATGGCCGGTTGTGCCAGAATTTATATTAAAACCCAATAACAAACTGTTAAAACACTAATAAATAGCTGTCTCTCCAGTCAATAAGTACTTCTTAAAATGAAATATTAACATCTTTTCACGTTTATGTAATTTGATACAAACACTATTTTTATTTGATTGATACAACTTTTTTTAAGGTTTTCTTTATGTGATCATATTAAAAGCCACATGCCACGAGTTTGACAAGTGCTAAATTGTAAATTTATCCACAGCTGTACCCTCCAGCTCGTTTTTGTGATGACAAGCTGAAGGTGGCATGGAGAAAAAGATGTTACATTTCTAAGTTATGTTTGTCATATACAGCATTTTTATAACTGAAAGTAATAAAATTACTTGTAATAAAAATTGGCACAATATGCTTTGAAATTAAATAATTGTTGATTATGGCACAATAAATTAGCAGCTTTCAGAAGTTTTGTTTTTATCAACATGTGACATGTTAATTTTCAATAGTAAATTAATGAAGTTAGTAAAGTAATACCACCTCTAATAATTCAGCAGGTCAAATAAAAATAAAAAATCACTGATCTTGATGAGGCTATTTCGATTATGTGCAAACTTTGCCTTAATTATGTATATCAGAACTTAAATTAATATCTGGATTTAATTTCCGATTAATCAGATTCAGTAAATGACATATGAACTCAAGACAAAGCTTTAGTGAAAGGTGCAGCAGATATTTAAGGACATACTCAAATATGTTAACCACATTACTAACAATAATTTGTTTTAAGATGAATTGTTCAGCACAGGTGTCATTTATTGATCTAATTTTTTCCAATCATAGAAACCTGGCACTCTTGCATTATCACATTCATTATAAAGCTACAAAATAACAGCAGGTGTACATGAATTTTGAACTAAGTTTATTAGCAGGCAAATTGATCAAATGTAGGTAAAGTTTATGAAAATCATATGACAGAAGACATTTACTGGTTGAGAGAGTTCCAACCAGGGTGAGATATGGCTAAAACAACTTTATTTGATCAAAGTGGAATGCAATACATCTGACTTAAAAACTAATGTGAGCACACCTTGCAGGAGTGGAAGATAAGACGTGCCGATTACAATAATTTCACTTCTCCTTGGAATTTCCGTAACTATTACAAAGAAAGTAGAGAGAGGCGGAACAGCAAGCAGACTGGAAACATTTTCGCTGCAATGACTGTGGTCCCTTCACAGCGTTCTGCAAAACAGAAGACAACAACTTTTGTACTTTTTTAGGTACAACTTCATCCTTTGGTATTTAACTTTGAAGAACAAAGTTTAAATGAATGCATCTTTGAAATTAAGCAAACCAAATAAAAAATAATAATTCAGATACAAGAAAAAAATGTCTGTGGTGTAAATGCTATCTTGCAACCTTACAGTATATTACTTTACCAGGTCAAAGTACATACACTTCTCTGATATATGATATTAAAACTAAAGATAATTGTTGCTGGTAAAGGACACAGAAACCATTATATCACAATTGATAATATTCCTTTGGGCTTTAATGTAATCCCTCGCCATATATAAAATTGTTATCTTCTTATGCTCTAAGATCCACTTATTTAAATAATCTAGGACTTAAAAATGTGACCACTATAACAACTTGCAAGTTTATATATAGATACCAATCAATAAGGCATCCACGACCACTGGAAATATAAAATACTTACAGCTAAAGAGCTTCTAGAGCTCCTCATGGTCAGGATGTCCTGAATCAGAGCTTGTGGGGTCCTGGCAGATAGCAGGGCTGGTGAACTCCATGAGATATTCACATCGACTCGGCTCTGATGTCGATGTCACAACAGTTTCCTTTCCACATGTTAACTTAACCTAATATTACAAAAGCTGTTACTTTTAGTTTTGATTATTGAAAAAAATAAATAAACACGGAGATTGTCAAATGCTGCCTCAGACTTACAGTGGTGGATCTGTTGGGGCCTTGCCAACACCCAGTTCCATGTTCGTACTTCATCGCAGAGTAGATGTTATCCTCAGGACCTGCCCATTTACCCCATGTTCTATGTGAAAGAAACAGAACATATTGAATAAAACAAGTAAATCAACTTCAACTGCAAACCACAAATTTTCATCCTTACCCTAAATTAGTCTCTGATCCACCAAATTTGGGTTTCTGCGACACTCTGTTAAAGGGACAAAGTCTGTAGACATACCTGTGAGAAAAAGATATGTAGTCATTCAGAGATTAATTTATTACATTTGGAAAACATTTAAAAAGATTAAGTATTCACTTACTCGCCAGTGGTCAGTTCATAACACTGGCTGTAGAGGTAAGCAAACTCAGAACTGGGTCCAAAGTCAAAAGAGATTTCCTTCTCAAGGTTTCTGGAAACAAAACAACTCCAGGTTTTAGTTTGCAACTCCCAACACATTCCTGGGGCTCCAAAAGCCCCAGTAAGGGGTGAGTGAAGAGGAATTTTGATGAGAAAAATTAACAACATTGGCCAAAAAGACCTTTTCATATTCAAACGTACCTGACTGATCTTCCACCTCCCGCAGAGCCTTTTCTGCCTCATTGAACTCATCCCTGGCTTTCTGAGCAGCTGAAATTAAAACAGATGTTTACACTGAATTTAGCAACACATAAAAAGTCTTATTAATCAGATGTGAGGAGAGAGCACCGATGCATGTAAAAGTTTCCAAACATTAATTCTCCAGAACTTTTGAGATCCAAGTTTTAAGGTCTTGAAGACCAAGCAGAAATCATAATTAGAAAAGTTTTACCACAACAAATCACTAGTCATTGCAGGACTGCTGGGTTGCAAACACGTACCATCAATGAGAGTCTGTGTTTCTTGGTCATAGGGTGGCATAGCGCCCTCTTCATCATCCTCCTTCTTGTCATCGGTTCGCGACGTTGGAGGGGGCTGAAACCAAACCAAATTGAAGTGATGAATTACACAAACCTGGGATTTGCCAAGTTTAAGTTTCACTGAGAATCAAAATGTTTACCTTATAATCTCCTTCATCCATATCTTCATCGTCTTCATCCATATCTTCATCATCGTCGTCTTCCTCTGGGATGTCCTCATCAGGGTAGTTTTCAGAGTCATTGTCAGAGGATGTGTCTCGGGTTTCCTCTTGTGTGGTTTCCCCGGGTGGAGGGACGTCTGCAGTGGACTGATCCCAACAGATAAACATTTAGCTGCAGCAACAATGTTTTACAAATATCTATTAACCACAATTTTGAATTTTCTCACCTCAGAAACATATTTTTCTTTAATATTATTCCAGACAGTCTCAAATGCTCCTGTGTCCACTTTGTCCACACCACCTAACAAAACCTAAAAAGTTATATAAAAAAACAAAAAAAAACAAACAATACATATTTACCAGCTCTTGTAATACTTGAGTTTAAGTTTGGTTTAGCAACACTGATCTAGAAGTAATAGCCAGAGTTGTACCTGAGCTTCTGCTTCTGTGAATAATGCATCAGAATCTGGATCAAGCTCAGAATGAGACTGAAGTTCAACCACTGACACACTTAAAAAAAAAAAAAAACAGAAAAAGGAACATTAATTTACAAAAAAAAAAAAAGAAATCATTCAACAATCTGCCAAGGCCTACAGGTAAGACATTTAATCATTTTATTAAAACTGGATGTCATATCCAAAAGGATGTGCTGGTTAAAAAAATGAAGTGATATGTAGTAAAGAGAAATATTGCAAAACAAGTTAAAGCAACACTAAATACAAGCAAATAGACTTGGTACTTTTCCAAACTTAAATGGATGTAATCTTAGTCTCTAAATAATGTTTTAATTTCTTACAATGCTGAGTATTTTCCAATGTAAGCAATACTCACAAGCCATCGTCATCATCATCCAGTTCAAGAAATACGTCGGCCATCCTAGCCATGTCTTTCTCCATACGAATGACAGCTTTTTGATCTGAAATAAAAGCCACATTTACATTTGTCTCATCTGTGACTGTGTTTGCCACAATTTGATTGTTGTGAGGAAGAACAGGTTGAACATTGAAAGAAAATCAGAGGTTTCAAAGGGGTCTTATGCTTTACAGACACCAGGTGGCGTTAGTCTTAATTTACCTTCCCAAGCCTTCAGATGGCGCTCTTTCGCTTCTTTCTCTGGTTGCTCTGCAGTCTCCTTAACTGTTCTCAGTGCTTCAACCTTTGCTTCCAGGTCTTTCTTACTGTTCTGTATATCTCCAAGTTTACTCTGTTGGAACAAAATTAAATAGCCAATTCAGTCCAAATAAAATCTGAATCAAGAATTGTATTTTACAGCTTCAAATATTCACTTTACCTAAAAAAATTACATTTTAAGAAAACCTTTCTGAAATAGGCCTGGGTTTATGACTTTAAGAGCAGAACAGAAACAAGACTAGTAATGAAAACTAAGGACATTTCCACACTTTCCCAAACTCTATATAAACCTTGTATTCTATTGTTTGTACAAATGTTGCATGGATTACATAAAAACAAGCCATAAAATTATCTAACAGAATTTACAATATTAATCCTGCACGGACTAGATTCAGAGCTTTTTTTTTTCTCTCCAGACCTTCTTGTCCTCTAGTCCCTGTTTGGCCTCCTGGATAAGCTGTTTTTTAAACATAAAGCCTTCTTTGCGATTTCTGCTATCTTCTGCAGTTCTTCCTTCTCTTTGCGACCCAACTCCCTGAAAACAAAGTAATGTCAAACATAACACCAAGACATTTCTTTTGTAATTTCTGAGCAACTTCTTGTAACAATAGAAAATACATGCCTGCAGGTGTTTTGACAGTCAACACCACTGTTGTACTCATCAGTAGTGTCACAGCAATCTAAAGGGAAAATGTAAGTGTGAAGAAGCTATCAAATATTTTTCTAAAGGTGTATTTGAACCTGGACAAAATGCATACCACATATTCCATCATTGACGCGGGAGGAAGGGATGAAGGCTGGTCTAAAACCTGCATTAGTACAGTGGAAGTTGCCATTGGGGCAAGCAGCAGTACCTGGGAGGGATAAACATCTTGAATTAGAATCATTGTACTTTAAAACCACAACTGAATAATTCTCCAGAAAGGAGGATGTACACACCTGGCTCATCAGAACCATCCACACAGTCACAGTAGTCGTCATTTACTCTGTCAAAGGGAATAGTTCGGGATCCATCCAGACATGTAAAAGGTTTGTCCTCTTCATAAAACTGGCGTTCTGTTGTTCATCAAAACAGACAGGAAATGACTTAGACCTCCCCCAGATTCAAATGATCTAATTGAATTACTATTTAATTCATCATAAGTCAGGTTAAGAACGCTTACTTGACAAGGGGACACCGCGGGGACGTTGGACCTCCGCAGACATGGCTCCGCCGATCAGAACCAACAGCACGAACTGACCGAACATCATCATGGTCAACCTCTGCATTAATGACCCAACAGTGCCTATAGAAACACACAATTGTACATTAGAAATTTGCAGCTTTTACTCCTGGGGAGTAAAACCATGTCTTGGGAGAAGCTAGAGGTTCGTAGCTACTAGCTAGTGCAGTGAAAACAATGCTAACTAGCAAATTGTGCTAATAGCTTTGCTAAACGGCAAACAGCAAATTCAAAATAAAATCTATGCAGTGACAATTATATAAACTTAAATACCTGAAGTGTGAACAAGGTAGCAAAAGAAAGGAGGAAAATGTATTTTTATCGGTGCCGATGCCTAAGCATTGTCTGGTGGAATAACCTACTTCCGTATAGAGGTACAACCGTTCTTGTCCCCGTTCCGACGTTTTGCAATCTGATTGGACAAGAAATTCTCTTCTTCTTTTGTGATTTGGTGTAGAGAAGGAAATCCGTGACACGTGAAGACGACATTCTTCTTCTTTTGATTGGCGGACAGCAAGAGGACGACATTTCATTGTAACGAAGATTCTAAACTCCGACAGCAATGGGTCTCAGTTTTACGTTTGATCAAAGATTCTTAAGACTTTAAAAGTATGTCAGTGCATTGCACGGGATCATTGTCATACCATTGCCACTGGAGTAGACGCTCCAGTTTCCTGTTGTGATTGGTGGAGAGCTGGAGAAACGTCACACTAGTCTTGAGGAGAAGTGCAGCCATCTCATGCCAGCTCAGCTTTTTTTTGTTTTTAACACATTTACATGGAAAGTTAATGCTGAGAAGCCAACACATATCAATTTTAAATGTAAACTTTAAAGCAATTTTAAATATGACTACATTTTTAAAGGGTTTTGAGCTTAAGTTTCCTCTAACCTCATTTGTAGATTTTTTTAAGCTTTCATGTACATCCTTGTTTTTTTTATTTCATTTTATTTATGTTCTATTCAGGTATATTTAATTACATATAATGTCACACAAATGTTATATTACTAAGGATTATATTTACATTTACTAATATTTAACACCAGATGGGAATAGCTTCTCAACAAATAAGCAATTTTGCCCCAGAGAAGTATATTCTAATTTATTCCTTTAAATTGTCCTTCTCTTAGTATTACATCTATTCTCCCAATAGATGTAGATCATCTCTAGGAACTAATGATTTGCAATGAACAACGTGCTGTCCTTGTACATACTTAAAATTTTATATAAACATCTAAAGCAGTCAGTCTGAAAGATGATCCATATCTAAAAGCATATTGCATTGTGAAATGCAACACAATGTTGCGATTATATTCATATTTTTAAGGCCAACAAAAAATAGCTTCTAGAAATAAACAGTTTTGCATTTGGTTCTACAGAACTCTGGAGGCCTTTTATATCTGTTCTGTTTTTTTTTTTTTTTTTGAATAATATTTAAGCAGGTTCGAAACCAACTTTGACCTGTTACCGGTACTTCTTGAAACCGGTAACAGGCCCATCATGCGTAACTATGTAAAAGAGTTAAACAATACATTAATTAACGTCAAAGGAGAATGTGAGTACTATTTTTGTTTCAATATAAAAATCTTGCTTTATTTGTATTTTAACACACTTTACAGTACCGAACAGTGAAATAAAAGAAAATATACTGATATACTATTGTACTATTTTATATATATAGATGTCGCTTATTAAATGCATTTATTCACAAAAATGACACCTCGGCTCTGTCAGGAGGAAAAAAACTTTCATAAAATATATAATAAAAAATAACTTGGACACATTTTACACATTACAGCAAGTTCATTTACAAATATTACAATCATTTAAATTTTTTTTTTTCCTATCTCCCTTTAGACAAGCTCTGTTACTAATGACAAACACGTGAATTAAAGCCCAGAGGATTTCTCTCAAAGGGAGTCAGTCTGTGATAACATTACCTGACAGCAACACCAATGGGAACCAGATAAATAGGCCACCATGGGACGGACATTTAGGCTATCAGGCTAGATAGTGCTTAAAGTTACTAAGAAACAAAGGGATGTAAGTGCTGGAAATGACCAAGTCAAATAAGGACACATATTGTGACTTTCAGTAAAAAATAAAAAAAAAAAAAAAAAAAAAAAAAAACACATAATAATAATAATCTCATAGACTCTTTTAAGGGGACGTCTAATTTATTTTACAGTGCATCTCAACCGCTGGATATTGTGGGTTTGGGATTTTTGCCCAGATGGATATGCAGACTGCACATTACCTGAACCCGACTGTTTTACCTTGAAACCTGATGAAATAAAGTGCTGGTACAAATTTATTTGATTTTAACAATAAGTGTGCACTATTAAAAGTTATGACAAAATGTTACCCACATGTGAGGAAATATAGTATTCGAGAATGACAATGTGACGAGGTGGCTTGTGGTGTCTCAGTGGTTATTTGTCTATCATTATAATTCGGATAAAATTTTATTTTACAGTACATTTTACATTATATACAAGAGTGGTAATGATTATAGCTATATCATCAGCATGTGATTCATTTTCCAGACCATCTACCTGAATGATATAAAAATAAACTGTACACAAGCTGTTAAAAGAAAACACTTTCCCATGTTTTCTTTTCATCATTTAAAAAGAATGGCAGCAATCAATCAATTGAATAATTTCCTTAAGAAACAATTGCTACAGTATCGTGTTTGTATGGCAATTAAATATTACTGTTTTTATAGCTTATGACATAACAAGAAGCCACAAAAACAAAGGAATATGTTAAAAGTAAAAGGCCAGTGCATATGGGATATATTTTTTTTATATTTAAGTAACTGTGATAGTAATCCTGAATTCCCATTTTCACTACATGAAAAGCCTGCGTTGGTGGCCTCACAGCTCAACCAAATACACAGGCTTCTGTTGCACCAATCTGTGGCAACTTCACATGAGCTCAGTTACTGACCTGCAGAACTCGCCCTCACCTTTAACTTAATGTTCGATTTACCCTGTGAGAAAACAAACGCTCAAACAACCTGGCACAGTTTGGCTGTTCTGATCAAATCCTGGACACTTGATGCGAAGATGCCAATGAGCGGACGACAACATGAGCGAAGACATCTTTTAACATCTTGCGGTATTTTACTATTATTCTTGTAATCTCATCTCAAATGTCTCCAGGAAGCTATAGGATGCAATCTCATTTTTTTCTTTGTTTTTTTTTTATAAAAAAACAGCACATTCTTTTAGTTGATCCAAGCACAGCCACAACAAAAATAACTGGCAGCAGTGTTTCCCACTTCCCCTCCAAAATGCAAAATACATTGTTTCACACCAGCACAGAAATAAGTATACAGATGTGATATAAATATACTAGGATATCTGTATTGTGTCTTTTAATCTACATACTTATAGGTATGTATCCTGCATCTGACATTAAGGCAAAAAAAACCATCAAACATAGAAAGGTGATTTGGGACTGCCAGACCTTTTCCCTGACATTCTGCCTCCCTGATTTCCTTCAATTCCACTCACCCACTGAAGTTTGTCTTCCTTAACTTTGGTGAGAATCGCTATGTATGAGGAGACAAAAAAAAAATAAAAAAATACAAAAGAATGAAGACAGCAAATGAACTTTTGTTCTGCTGATGAAACTTTCTCTCCCTTTATAACATATTCAGCAAAATTTCAAATATAAAATAGGCAAAAACGTATATGCTTCAAAGCATCACATGGCTTATTCTCTGAAAGTTTAGAAAATAATAATAATAAAATCAGTATAATAGGAAATAAATATATAAGCTGGAAAGAGTCCAGTGGTGGTAGTGGTGGTGTTAGTGATTGCTCTGCATCTAAAGTTCTGAGTTGTCATAACACCAGAAGCAACTAAAGGAAGACTTACAGCTGAAACAAGTCACCACAGAAACTTGTACGTGTGAGTTACACGCCACAATACATGAACAGTAAAGAGAGACCTTGAACAAGAGACAATCAAAAATGATTCCAAAAATCAGACTCTCCTGTTCCACAATGCATGCTTCTCCACAGCCTCAGTCAGGAAGCTGATGTTTCACAAAGGCACAGAGCCATCTCACACCAGTAGCACTCTCCTTGTAAAGGGAAAAAGGATGCGGGGCTTCTCGGGCCCCTTCAACGCAGCATCTTCCTTTTCTTTGCTTCCACGTTACGTTCTCCTCTTTCTCCAACTCTGCGGACTTATTTTTTAAGTTTTATTTCCCACAGAAATGGAAAAAAAAAGTCACTGAAGCTTCTCTGAAGAGAGCAGTTTCTATTGAGATTCTAACAGACATAAATTACTAATACTGACTTGACACGAGTTAATAAACCAATAAGGAATGGCTTTTTCCAAAGAGATTCATCACTGATCAATGTCCATGTGTAAATGCACATATACAAACATACAGTCAAGTGTATGTAGGTTCCTGTGTAAGTCTATGTGTCTTTTTAAAAATCAGTAGGTGTACATATGAAATGCAATGATACTGCATGGCTTGCTGCATGCATGCATGCACATTGCATTGTTGTACTCTACACAACTTACTTTTGATTGTGGTTTTTGTGGATATTTTTGTGTGATTTCATGTGTGTTTATTTATGTGCATTCCGGTCACCAGAGTGCTACACTGTCTCCCATTACCCGTCAATAATGGCCTTCTAGATTTCCATTAGTCTTAAGTTCCTAGTAAAATTAGTCCTAGAACTTATCACTCCAAATCTACAGTTGCTGTGTAATTAGCTTCTCTTTGAGCGATTTTGAATGTATTCCCTTTTTGAAAAATATACTTAAAGGTCTGTATTGTCATTGCAGTCATATTTGTTCTTTGTTTGGCCATTTAAAGAATCAACAACATAATGTGTGCAAGATAGGAGGGAGATACAGGAGCAGACCTCATGTATCTTCAGCTTGAGAAGAAGAATCTTCCTCTTCTTCTACAGGACTTGTGTCAAAAAGTCTTTCTTTTTGTGGATCCTCACGTAACGAGATTTCAGCTCTTCCTGCTTCCTCTTCCTCCATAGCCACTTCATCTTCCTCTATTATGTCCTCATTCTTCTCATCTGACATTTGATCTTCCTTGTCCTCATTGTCATCATCCTTGTCTATGTCACTGCAGTCTTCTGCCACATGGTTTGGTGTGATTTTGTCGTCCTCGTGTCCCTGCTCATTCTGAGAGCTCTCTTCCAGGGTGAGCTCAAACTGAAATTTGTCAATGCATTTGTTTAGCTCCTTTTCCTGACACACAGGAGGTGGCGATGGGCTTTGTGGGATAGTGCTCTGGTACCAGTCCCTGTTGCCTCTTAGGGTGTCCAGGATCTCCTGGGCATCGGGATGTACAAGGTCTCCCCACGTCTCCCATAGTGGATGAACAATGTAGTCAATGAAGCCCACCTACATCCAGAAAAGAAAAGGGGAAAAAAAAAACCAACAGTGTAACACTGACTCGACTCAAGCAAGCTCAGCCTTACTCTTGGCAAATTGGCATTAAAAATGTAGGCGGGCG